GTCAATGTCATGAGACAAAGTGTATGTGAACTGGTGTATGGAAGATGAATTTGCCCTGTAAACTTTCACCCAAATCACAATAAAATTAAAAAGTAAAAACAAAAAAGTGAAATGGAATGCATAAAGATTGATATCCTAGGTGTTAGTGAGCTGAAATGGACTGTTTTCAGCCATTTTGAATCAGAAGACCATATGATCTACTATACCGGGAATGACAAATTGAAGAAGGATAGTGTGGCATTCATCATCACAAAGAATGTATCAAGATCTATGCTGAAGTACAATGCTGTCAGTGGTGTAGTGTCCAAGGCATTTGACTGCTAACCAGAAGGCTGGTGGTTCAAATCCACTAGCCACTCCTTGGAAGGAAGATTGGGCAATCTATTTCTGTAGTGATACTGCCTTGGAAACCAAAGGAGATGTTGCTATGAGTAGGATCTGACTTGACGGCAGTGAGTTTTTTTTTTTTTGATGAGGAAGACCATTTAATACTACTATTATTCAAAGTTATGTACCAACCACCAAAGCCAAAGATGAAGAAATTGAAGAATTTTAGCAAATTCTGCTGTCTGAAATTGACCAAACATGCAATCAAGATGTGTTGATTATCACTGGTGATTGGAATGCAAAAGTAGGAACAAAAGAAGAATCACCAATAGTTGGAAAATATGGCCTTGGTGATAGAAATAACACTGGAGATTGTATGATAGAATTTTGCAAGACCAATGACTTATTCATCACAAATACTTTTTTCAACAACACAAATGGCAGTTATATATGTGGACTTCACCAGAGTACCCAGAAATCAGATTGACTGCATCTGTGGCAAGAGACAATTGAGTTGGATGTGACTCATAGCAACCCCTCTTTGGGTTTCCCAGGCAGTATCTCAATGGAAGTAGACTCCCCAATCTTCCTTCCAAGGAGTGGCTGGTAGGTTTGATCCACCAGTCTCTTGGTTAGCAGTCAAATGCCTTAAGTCCTATGCCACTAGAGCTCCTAAGAGTTGATGGAGAAGCTCAATATTTTCAGCCAAAACAAGGCTAGGAGCTGATTGTGGAACAGACCACAACTGCTCATTTGCAAGTTCAAGTTGAAGCTTAAGACAATTAAAAGAAGTCCACAAGAGCCAGAATAGGACCTTGATTATATCTCTCCTCTATTTAGAGACAATCTGAAGAATAGATTTGATGTATTGAACACCAATGACCGAAAACCAGAGGAATTGTGGGATGACATCAAGAACATCATCCATGAAGAAAGCAAAAGGTCATTAGACAGGAAAGGAAGAAAAGACCAAAATAGGTATCAGAAATGACTCTGAAACTTGCCCTTGAATGGAGAGTAGCTAAAGCAAATGGAAGAATCGACAAGATAAAAGAGCTGAACAGAAGACTTCAAAAAGCAGTTTGAGAAGTCAAAGCCAATTATTGTAATGAAATGTGCAAAGACCTGGAGTTAGAAAACCAAAAGGGAAGAATATGCTAAGCATTTTTCAAGCTAAAGGAACTGAGGAAAAAATTGAAGCCTCGAATTGCAACATTGGAAGATTCCATTGGCAATATATTAAATGATGCAGGAAACATCAAAAAAATATGGGTGGAATACACAGTCACTATACCAAAAAAGAATTGTTAGATGACCATCCATTTTGGGAAGTGGCATATGATCAAAAACCAACAGTACAGAAGGAAGTTGGAGCTTCACTGAAGGAATTGGTGAAAAACAAGACTCCGGGAATTGATGGAATACCCATTGAGTTGTTTCAACAAATGGATGCCATGCTGGAGACACTCACCTCACTCAGCTATGCCAAGAAATTTGGAAGACAGCTACCTGGCCAACTGTCTGAAAGATATCTATATTTGTACCCATTCCAAAGAAAGGTGATCCCACAGAATGTGGAAATTATTGAACAATATCATTAATATCACATACAATTAAAATCTTACTGAAGATAATTCGAAAATGGTTGCAGAAGTATATTGACAGAGAACTTCCAGAAATGCAAGCTGGATTCTTAAGGGGACATGGAGCAAGGGATATCATAGCTGATGTCAGATGGGTCTTGGCTCAAAACAAAGAATACCAGAAAGATGTTTACTTGTGTTTTATTGATTATGCAAAGGCATTCGATTGTGTGGATCATAATAAATTGTGGATAACATTGAGAAGAATGGGAATTCCAGAACACTTAATTATACTCATGAGGAACCTGTACATAGACTAGGAGGCCGTCATTTGAACAGAACAAGGGGATACTACATAGTTTAAAATCACGAAGGGAGTGTGTCAGGGTTGTATCCTTTCACCATACATATTTAATCTGTATGCTGAGCAAATAATCTGAGAAGCTGGACTATATGAAGAAGAATGTGGCATCAGGATAGGAGGAAGGCTCATTAACAACTTGTGATACACTGATGACACAACTTTCCTCGGTGAAAGTGAGAATGAATTAGAACAGTTACTAATGAAGATTGAAGACTACAGTCTGCAGTATGAATTACACCTCAATATAAAGAAAAGTCCTTAAACTGGATCAATAAGCAGCATCACAATAAATGGAGGAAAGATTGAAGTTGTCAAAAACTTCATATTACTTGGTTCTACAAATCAATGCCAATGGAAGCAGCAGTCAAGACATCAAAAGACATACTGCATTGGGAAATCTGTTGCAAAAGACCTCTTTCAAGTTCTGAAGAGCAAAGATAACTCCCTGAAAACTAAGATGTGCCTAACCCAAGCCATGTGCATGTGAGAGTTGGACAGTGACTAAGGAAGACCAAAGAAGAGTTGATGCTTTTGAGTTGTGGTGTTGGTGAAGAATGCTGAAAGTACTGTGGAGTGCTAAATCTATTCTGGAGGAAGTGCAGCTGGAAGCTCCGTGGAAGTGAGAATGTCCAGACTTTGTCTCACCTACTTTGGCTATGTTGTCAGAAGGGACCATTCTCTGAAAAAGGGGAAGGCCCTCAAGAAGATGATTGACACAGTAGTTGCAGTGATGGGCTCAGGTGTAGTAGGGATCATGAGGCTGGCACAGGACTGGGCAGTGTTTCACTCTGTTGTACATAAGGTTGCCATGAGTCGGAGACAACTTGATGGCACATAACAACAACAATAACATAATTCTTTAAATGATCATTTAGAATTATTATCCAAATAAGAAGGCATTTTCTTGGACTCACTTTTTTCATGGCAAAAGGAAGATACATATAGACATGTCAATACAACAATCAGAAGATACTCAGAGTTCCTACGTGGATTGGGGAATGCATTAATTTTCACCCACCACAGGTAAGATGATGACCTTCCATTTCTGAGAAGACAGAGTTGTTCTTAGGTGTCTTCAGGTCAGTTCTGACTCATAGTGATCCCATGTTCAACAGGAACGGAATGTTGTCCAGTCCTGTACCATTTTCACAGTCATTGCTGTTTGAGCCCATTCTTGCAGCCACTATGTTAATCCATCTCATTGAGGGTCTCCCTCATTTTTTTGATGACCTTACCAAGCATGATGTTTTTCTCCAGGGAAGAAGGCAATTGTGGCTGTGAATTCACTGGTTAACATTATTCCTAGTGTTACTACTCCTGCCCAAGGCTTCCAGGGCAATGACGTTATTTGACCTTTGAGCCAACAGCCCCATGGAAACAGCACAGTCATCACTGAATTATGGATGTCATTTTCTGTTTTAAAAAGCAATACTCAGTGTGATGTGGAACAGTACAAATAGGAAAGCAGGGCTGTGTTGACAATCATTCTAACTTCTCCCTCCCATACCTTTTCCCTCAGTTACAAACATTTTGTTTGTATTTTAAATGCTATTTAAGGCTTTCATAGTCCAGAGTACAGACATGGCTAGATAGTGGCTCTTTGTCCATTCTTGATGACATGCAGGCAGAGGCTGTTTCTGGTTGTGAGTGGAGGAGCCTTTTGGAGAGTTCTCCTTAGAAGCACATCTGGATGGAGAAACTTTGATTTCATCTGCATTGTAAAAGGTAGCTTTTGGCAGTAAAGAGATGTCACTTGGAGTAAAACCATGAAAAAACTGAAAGGAAAGTGAGTTCAGGTACCAAATGTCTCGGGAGTCCCCACTGTGTCCCTGTTCATGCTCCCATTTGGGTTTTAGGCTGTGCAAGTCTGAGATGCCATGTTTTTCATCTGCTTATTCAAGACATGTTTATTGAAGGCCTGTTATGAGCAGGGGATACGTACAAAGCAAACAAATGCTTAAATACCAGTGTTGGAACATATACTAAATGAGGAAGAGTGCCCCTAATGAGGGCATACCTTGGGCAGAAAATAACCCAAGCATCCTGTGGTTCCTGGTCAAATTGTCTCAAATACTTCTTGTTGACTCCTTGCTGTCATTGGGCCATATTCTCTCTTCCTTTATTATCTCCCCTCTTCCTCTCCTTGTTCCTGGCTGGGGATGTAAGATTCATGTAATTTTCTCTCCTGATACCACTACCAATATACACCTTCCCAGCCCTGAGGCATTTGAAGTCTGGTCACAGAAACTATCCCATCCCAGATCTGCACCTGTGTTCTAGTACTGCAGGGACATCTGGTTCAGTGTCATCTGTGGCTTTCTTATTGCACCTCCTCTCCTGGGCTGCTCATCCTGTAAAAAAACAAAATGGCAAACAAAGTGTGAATTTCCTGGTCTTCCCCCATACACACTGCAGGGATTCTTGACAGTTTTAATGGATCACAGAACCTGTGCCTTTAACACTGTTGCACCTTTTACTAAATGACCCTGAACCCCAATAGCTCAGTAGTAGGGGCCAAGACTTGTGCCAGCTTCATATTTAGATGGGATTTGTGGGAGCACTTCCAACTCCTTTCACTAGAACCGTTTAGCTTCTTACCTTACTGAAAGGACACTTTCAGAAACCACTTCAGTGAACTTGATGAGAGGAGTGAAGAGAAAGAAGGAAGAGTAAAGGGGGGTGAGGAGAGGAAGAAGGAGGAACAGAGGGAGGGAACTAGGGCAGAGCAAGGAAGCCAACCTGAGCAAACACAGCAGCCTGAGTGTTCCCAAGGCCAAAATGCTGAGAAAGACTGTTCCTAGGAGTGGTCCGAGTTGGCAAGCCCCCTGGCTCCCTGTTTCTTCTGGCATTTTCTGCCTCTGTCTCACTTTCTTCTTGGGCCACATGGGCTTGCTACAAGGACACCCCCAGTGCCTGGATTATGGGCCCCCCTTCCAGCCCCACATGCACCTAGAGTTTTGCTCTGACTACGAGGCCTTCGGCTGCTGCGATCAGAGTAAGGATCACCGCATTGCTGCCCGATACTGGGACATCATGGACTGCTTTGACCTGAAGGGCCATGAGGTGTGTGGAGGGTACATCAAAGATATCCTCTGCCAGGTAGGTCTGAGCATAACCCTGAGGTGGGGCAGAGTAAAATGACTTAGAAAAGTGCCTTCCAGACATCAGTGATTTCTGGATGGTAAGAGCCACAGAGAGAGAGAGAGCATTGGACACTCTGCCTTATAGAAGCTCACCTGCCAGTTACCTCACCTTACCTGTGGGCTCTGCATGGGCATATTGAGGGGACGGTGTGCTGAGCTCAATTTCCATTGGTTCCGCAAAGCTGTTCCTCAGGGGTTCTGCTGCCTTGGTGGTTTTTCAGGCCCAAGGAGGCTGATAGAGGTGTTCAAAGAACTCTTTGGGCAGCTGTTGTCAGCCTTCCTTGCCATGCTCCGAGTACTGGGCACAGCACATGTTTTTACAGAGTGTGTGGAGAGAGTAGTGGCAACTGCTCAGGTCCAGTTCTTGGGGCCATTTGTGTGATAATGGTGGCCACAGTGTTGAAGGGAGCTCTCCTAGAGCTTTGTCTGCCCAGGATTTTGGAGAGAGACTGAGAAAGCCCTCACCCACTGAATGGTGGTGACTCACACAGGTTCTGCTTTTCCTGGCTCTCCAGTGGCTAAAATCCACATTCTGGAGGGGCATCACCTTAGTTCAATTTAACCTGGAAATACGACTGCTTATGTTGACTTTGTGGGAAGAATGTGCTTATGGGTGCAAGAGGAGAGCTGAAGAAAGGGGTTGTCATAGAGAAGAGTATGCTAATGGTTTTGGGAGGGGGCAATAGACTGGTGGTCAATGCTGTCCTTTTATCTGCAACCCTCCTGGGCAGTCAACACGATTATATGGCTATCACCAGGGCATTTCCTCACGTCAGGCACAGACCTCTGCTACTCCTATTCTGGAGTGCACTGGCCATGGCCACTTCCTTTGCGGAGTGGGAGAGGTTAACTAAGATTTCCAGGTCCAGGCATGACACAGCAGAGCCTGCAACAGAAGCAGACACCTGGCTATCACTGTTCCAGTCTATACTCTCTCACCTCAGGCACCTTCCCTTGGCTGTTTCCTGGAGAATTAACTCTGAGATAACCATTTGGGCTGAAGTTGGGCTTTTATTAGCATTAAACAAAAAAACCAAAAAACCAAACTCACTACCTGTGAGTCAACCCTGACTCCTAGCAACCCCTCCTTGCGTTTCTGAGGCAGTCTCTCTACAGAAGGAGATTGCCCAATCTTCCTTCCAAGGAGTGGTTGGTGGGTTTGAACCAACAGCCTTCTGGTTAGCAGTCAAATGCCTTAGGTACTACACCACCAGAGCTCCTGTATTAACTTAAGAAACTGTTAATTTCTGAGATCTCCCCTGATAAAAATATTTCCTTCCTCCTTCCCTATTGGAGGCAAGTTTTCAGAAAGCCAAAATTAGGAGCTCTCCTATTTTAAGGATTTGAAGAAAGGATATTATCAGGAAAACAACCCCACACTTGTCTAATTTGTAAATTTATAAGGCCCTCTTTCTCCCACCCTACATGTGGTGTTGCCAACAGTGATTCTCTGAGGTAGTTATTGTTGTTGTTCTTAGCTGCCATAGAGTTGGCTTGACTCATGGTGACCCCCTGCACAGCACACACAACAGGATCAGACAGCTGTGATCCTTGGGGTTTTCACTGGCTGATTTTCAGAAGTAGAGCACCCGGTCTTTCTTCCTACTCTGTATTAGTCTGGAAGCTCTCCTGTAACCAGTTCAGCACTAGCAAAACACAAGCCTCTACTGACAGAAGGGTGATGGCTGGGCTTGAGGTGCACTGGCCATGTTTCTCCTACACAGAAAGTGAGAATTTTACCACTGAATCACCACTGCCCCCTGAGGTAGTTATTATTGTTGTTAATTGCTATTGAGTCAGTTCCAACTCATGGCAAACCCATGTGTGCAGAGCAGAACTGCTCTACGGAGTTTTCAAGGCTGTGCCCTTTTGGAAGCAGATTGCCAAGCCTGTCTTCTGAGGCTCCACTGAGTAGGTTCAAACTGCCAACCTTTTAGTTAGTAGTCAAGTGTGTAACTGTTTGCCCCACTCAGAGACTTCTGAGGTAGTTATTATGATCTCCATTTTGCTGATGAGGAATCAAGCTCATGGAGTTTTAAATGACTCGCCTGAAGTCAGATGTATTGGGGGACAAGTCTACAGGCTCACACTCCACAACTTGTGATCTTTGATTGCACCGTGCTAACTTACAGTAACAACAGCTCTGACCCAGGACTGGCTTTCTTACTTAAGGGTTTTCTGACCTTGAACCATAAACTCCACAAGAACAAAGATTTGTGCATCTGACTCACAGCTGTTTCCCCAATGCAGGGAATAGAGCCTGGCAAATAATAAAATTACCCTTTGCTGTAATGTGAGACTTCATAATGTGAATGACTCTTACTGGGCCTTCATTTTCTTAACTTTACAATAGAGAATGATAATCCCTCAGCTAACTGGGCAGAAGCAACTTTGCAAACTCCAAATTGCTGCATAAGAATGTGCTGTAGTGTGCTCATTCCACAGCCCCTTCAGCTCCCTGCCATTTCAGCCTTATTTCAGTCTCTCCTCTCTCTTCTTCTCACTCCTCAAGAACGGATGGAGTCAATGAGGTGAGACTCTCAACAATGCATTCCACTTCTCCTCAGCAGCTCTGACAAACATCCTGACGGTAATAGGCAGCTCACCGAGAGCCAGTGAATTTCCACCCTCTGGGTTCTTCCTCCCCCTGTCTTGGTTTCCTAATGCTGCCGTAACAGAAATATCACAAGTGGTGGCTTTAAAGAACAGAAATTTAATTTTTCACAGTTCAGGAGGCTAAAAGTCTGAATTCAGGGTGCCACTCTAGGAAGATGTCCTTCTTGGCTGGTAGCTCCAGGAATTCCTTGGCATTTCTTGGCATCTGTCCCATAGCCACCTCCCCCCACCCCACTCCTCATGACCATCTGTGTCTCTGTGTCTGTTCTACTCTGGTGTGACTTCATTAATACAACAACAACAACAACAACAAAAAGACCCTATTTCCAAACAGGTATTGCCATAGAGTCAATTCTGATTCATAGTGACTGTATAGGACAGAACAGAACTGCCCCAAAAGATTTCCAAGGATGTAAATCTTTAAGCAAGCAGGCTGTCACATCTTTCTCAGTTAGCAGCCCAGCACACAAACACGGTGCCACCAGGTCTCCTTCCAAACAGATATACCAAAAAAACCAAACTTACTGCCATCAAGTCAATTTTGACTCATAGTGACCCCCATGGGGTTTCCAAGGCTATAAATCTTTATGGAACCAGACCAGTCCCATCTTTCTTCTGCAGAGTGACTGGTGCGTTCAAACCACCAACCTTTTGGTTAGTGACCAAATGTCTTAACCACTATACCACCAGAATTAGGATTTCAACACATGTACTTTGGAGGGACACAATTCAATCCATAACATCCCCTCTTCCTGACATCCAAGAGCTTGCTTTGCAATCTACAATTGAGAAAATAGAGGTCTGTAGGCTCTCTGCTTTCAAATATGTCTGAAAAATGCTGTTGGTCCCTTTGTTAAGTGATGAGAGAATGAAGGTGAATAAGACAGTCCCACATTGGCCAGCTGGCCTGGCAGAAGTTTCATGCTCAGTTGCAGGGGGCTCTTGGGCCAGTGCACTTAAATTCTCTATGGGCCCAAACTATATCCTTTTAGCTTGCCTTTCTTACTTGCCTAATCTCAGTTGCCTTTGTCTGTCATTATTATTAGGAATTAGTTGTCTGCCCATAATATTGTATTTTCCTTTTAAAAATAGCTAAGGGAGGCCCACATAGCAGATACCCTTTTGGGCACACAGTCCTTATATGCTTGTAAAGAGTAGGCGTACTTCCCTGTGGTCACAATTCAAATTTGTACAGCTCCCAGCATGATGCTTTACATATATTAAACACTTAACAAATATATTTAATAATTGAAAAATTGCTAGTAGCAATCTCTGGAAGTAATACATTTTATGCCCATTTTAATTATTTTACTTTTAATTGTAAAATAATGCAAATATACACAAAGGTATAGAAAATTAAGTAATTACTCTGTATCCAACCCCCAGATTTAATAAATGTGAAACTTTTACCAAATTGCTTCAGATTTGTATAAAGAAATAAAATCCTAAAGGTAAAACTTAAAATAAAGGGAAAGATTGAGATATTTGGTACTGTTTCTTTAAAATATATGTATTCAAGGTCTCACACTCCCAGATCTCAAAACCTACTATACAGCCACAGTAGTCAAAACAGTGTAGTACTGGTACAATGATAGATAGGCCAATGAAACTGAATTGAAAATCCAGAAATAGACCCATCCATCTATGGACAGCTGATCTTTGACAAAGGTCCAAAACCCATTAAATGGGGAAGAGATAGCCTCTTTAACAAATGGTGCTGGCAAAATTGGATATCCACTTGCAGAAAAATGAAACAAGACCCATACCTCATCCTATACACAAAAACAAACTCAAGTTGGACCAAAGACTTGAATGTAAAACCAAAAACTATAAAATTCATCAAAGATAAAATAGGGGCAAACCTAGGAGCCCTAGTTTGGGCATAAATAGACTATCAAACATAACCCAGAATGCACAGAAGGTAGAAGAGAAGCTAGATGACTGGGACCTTTTAGAAATTAAATTCTTAAGCTCATCAGAAGACTTCATCAAAAGGGTAAAAAGAGAACCTACAGATTGGGAGAAAATATTTGCCTATGACATATCTGCCAAAGGACTTACCTCCAAAATCTATAGAAAACTCCAACACCTCAACACCAAAAAGACAAACAATCCCATTCAAAAGTGAGCAAGAAACATGAACAGACATTTCACTAAAGACAATATGCTGGTGACCAACAAACATGGGAGGAATTGCTCGTGATCTTTAGTCATTAGAGATGCAAATCAAAACAATGATATCACCTCACCCCAGCAATAATAGCAAAGTTCAACAGGTCAGAAAATAACAAATGCTGGCGAGGTTGAGGAAATATTGGAACTCTCATGCACTGCTGGTGGGATTGTAAAATGGTATAACCATTGTGGCAAATGGCATGGCGTTTCCTTAAAAAACTGAAAACAGAAATACCATTTGACCCAGCAATTCCATTACTGGGAATATATCCTAAAGAGGTGAGAGGCAGGACACAAATAGATATAAGCACACATATGTTCATTGCCGCACAATTCACTATAGCAAAGAGATGGCAACAACCTAAATGGCCATCAACAAATGAATGGATAACCAAATTATGGTACATTCAAACAATGGAATACTACGCCACATTAAAGAACAATGAAGGATATGCAATTCATCTCACAATGTGGATAAGTCAGGAGAACATTATGCTGAGTGAAATAAGTCAATCACAGAAGGACAACTATTGTATGAGCCCATTACTGTTCAAAGACAAGGAAGGGTTTGCTTAAGGAAGGGAACTCACTTTGTAGGTTACTGGGGTGGGGAGGGAAGGAGAGGGAATAATTTTGGACTAGTTGGGGGCCACACGCTGAAGTGGGTAAGGGAAGGGATGATATGGAAAGAGTCTGTGACCGGCATGGTAACATTGGGGAAAGGGAGGACACCAAATTGTACACATAAGATATAGACGACAGAGGCTAATACCAGTATATCCACAATACTGCATTACCATTAACACCAAACACCAGGCTACAGATAAACACATACACATCTGAGAAGACTAGATGGGGGTCAGTGAACAGGATTATACTCTAGACCAAGGATAGATTCAGCTAATGCTAATCTGGCACAGATACCAGTGATACAAAATACCCACTACCCTTACAGAAACAACAGAAGACAGACAGCCAGACACTGGGGGAGAGAGATCCAACAGAACCACTGATTCAGGACCATAGTATTGGGTGACACCAGACTCAGTTGGCACAACAAAATACATAAAAATCTTGTTTCACAACCTACATTGGTGGGTAGCAACTAGGGTCTTAAAAGCTTCCAAGCAACCATCTAAGGTGCAGCTAATTGTCTCTTATCAACAGAAGCAAAAATTAGTGCAAAAAACCAAGGGCATTTGGAAGCAATCAGCCCTAGGAAAGAATGAACCTTGAGACCAGAACTAGATAGTGCGCAGCTACCAATGCCAACTACTTGGGAAGGGATGAAAACTGGAGATCCTGGATAGAGTTGGAGGAAAAACATGAAATAAAAACACAATAATGACCAGAATTACTGGTTGGATGGAGTCTGGTGGAACCCCCAATACTATGGCCCTGGGATACATTTTGGCCCTGGGATAAAACTCATTTCCAAAGGCTGGCTCTCAGCCCAACAGTAAATAAGATGTACATGCAGACCACTCAACCCAGGGTGATGCACCCATATACTCTATGGAGACAAATCCCTTGGAGCAATCGACCATAGAGCACCAGAGGGGCAACATTCACATGGAGGAAATGCAAAACACACAAGAGTGCATAACTATGAGGGGTGGGGGGGGGGCAGTTACTGGGAAAGGAGGGGGAAAGAGTGGGTTAGGGTTGGGGATGGTAATTGGGGAGTGAAACCAAATGTACATGAAATGTTGAATGTAAAACAAACTCTACTATTTGCACCTAAAGCACAATAAAAAGAAAAATATACATATATTCATTCATCATTTAAGAAAACTTTATGTATCAAGTATTGAGCTACAATGATGCAAAAGGATAGTGAATATGAGAGAAGTTGTTTAACCTGCTGTCTAGGAACATTAACTGGGTAGAAAATTTGGGTGCTTGAGAAGAGAATTGACTTAACAAAAGTTGCTAATAGAAACTCTACACTTTTTAGAATCCTGATACTTTTCTAGACCATTTTTCTCTTCTTGCTCAAAAATCAGTTAAGTCCCACTGTGGCCAGTTTTACCACTGAGATGAAGCCTCTTTTTCTTTTCTAGGAGTGCTCACCTTATGCAGCCCACCTCTACGACGCCGAGAACCCTCAGACACCCCTCCGGAACCTTCCTGGGCTCTGCTCTGACTACTGCTCTGCCTTCCATTCTAACTGCCACTCTGCCATCTCCTTGCTGACCAATGACCGTCGACTTCAGGGGTCCCAGGGAAAGGATGGAGCCCATTTCTGCCACCTCCTCAACCTTCCTGACAAGGATTATTGCTTCCCCAATGTCCTGAGGAATGACCATCTCAACCACAACCTGGGTGTCATGGCCAAGGACCAGCAGGGCTGCCTACAGCTCTGCCTCACTGAGGTGGCTAATGGGCTGAGGAATCCCGTTTCCATGGTGCATGCTGGGGATGGCACTCATCGTTTCTTTGTAGCTGAGCAAGTAGGAGTGGTATGGGTCTACCTGCCTGATGGGAGTCGCCTGGAACAACCCTTCTTGGACCTCAAGAGCATTGTGTTGACCACTCCATGGATTGGGGATGAGAGAGGATTCTTGGGGTTGGCTTTTCATCCTAAATTTCGCTGCAACCAGAAGTTCTACATTTATTATTCATGTTTGGGCAAGAAGAAGGTAGAAAAGATCAGGATTAGTGAGATGAAGGTTTCTCAGGCTGATCCCAACAAAGCTGACCCAAAATCAGAGAGGTGAGACTTACCCATGAGAATCTGCATGTCTGTATCTTCACTCCAAATTAATGCCAATAAGCCTTTTGAGGTGATACAGGGAAAACTTACTGGTTTTAGAGCCACTGGCATGTAACACTGACAAAGGAGTCATTGTTGATTAATAGGACAACCCAAGTTAAACTCTTAAGTGAAGGATGTTCATGGTGTGTAGCTATCACCTTATAGTTATCCTAATTAGAACTCTGCTTGCATATTCTCACAGTGTGATAAGCAAAGACCAGCAGTTATTGTTGTTGTTGTAATGTGCCGTCGAGTCGGACCCGACTCATAGTGACCCCTCCTTGAGTTTCCAAGACAGTATCACTGCAGAAGTAGATTGCCCCATCTTCATTCTGAGGAGTGGCAGTTGTTAGTGATTGATAAATTATTATAGATAACATCAACATATTATTTATAATATTAAATGTGAATATAATATTGTTGTTGTTGTTAATTGCCATTGAGTTGACTCCTGAGTCATGGTGACCCCATGCACAGTAGAATGATAGGCTGTTTGATCCTGCACCATCCCTATGATTGGCTGTGGATTGGACCAATGTGATCTATAAGATTTTCACTGGTTGATTTTTGGAAGTAGATCACTAGGCCTTTCTTCCTAGTTTGTCTTAGTCTGGAAGTTCTATTGAAATCTGTTGGGCATCATAGCAACTCACAAGGCCCTACTGACAGATGGGTTGTAGCTGTGTGTATGAGGTGCATTGGTTAGAAATTAAATCCAGGTCTTCCACATGGAAGGTGAGAATTTTACTACTGAACCGCCACTGCCCCTATAGAAATATAATGTTGAGTCAGTTCCAACTCAGCAGCTCCACATGACTGGGGAATTGCCCCCATAGAATTTTCTTGGCTGTAATCTTTTTAAAAATTTGCTATTGTGGTTTGGGTGAAAATTTATACAACACATTGGTTGTCCATTCAACAATCCATACACATTCTCTTTTGTGACATTTACTGCAGTCCCCACACTGTACAGCATTCTTCCCACTTCCTCCCTGCACCCAGCACTTCTCCTTCATCCTTCCTTCCTATCCCCTCCCACATTCCTAGCTCAATCTAGGGGAAATAGTGTCCTCTTGATCTCATATACTTGATTGTTCTAATGAGTGCATACCCACCTGAATTTACTGTTCATCTTATAGGCAGCTCTATCATTTGGCTGACAGTTGAGTCATGGGGGTAAGTTCAGTTTCTAGCTAAGGGTGTCTAAAGGCCACAGTCTTGGGGGTTCCACCAGTTCTCATCATTCCAGTAAGCCTACTCTTTTTATGGTTTTGAGTTTTGTTGCATATTTTCCCACACTCTATCTGGGACTTCTTACTGTGATCCATTTCAGAGTGGTCAGCAGTAGTAGCACCAAGTTCTTCTGGTCTCAGGGTCATGGAGGCTGGGGTTCATGTGCTCCATTAGTCCTTTGGACTAATTGTTTCCTTGTGTCTTTGATTTTCTTCACACAACTTTTGTTCCAGAAGGGGAGAGACCATTAGCTGCACCTTAGATGGCTGCTCATGAGCTTGGAGTATTGTAGTTACTATTTACCAAGGTAGGATTTAGAACATTGTCTTTGTGGACTATGTTATGCCAATTGACCTTAGCATCCCCTGACACTTCAGTGCTGAGCCTCCATACCCAGTGATTCATTCCCTCAAGGTGTTTGGTTATGACTAAAACTAAGAAGTCAGGCCCTGCATGGTTTGGGGAAAGCTTAAAGTGTGGGCAGCCTGAAAGGTGGGCCCCACATTATTTTGGGTAGTTTCAGGGTGGAATAACTAAGGGAGATGAACTTGTCAGTCAGTTTGTTATCCTGAGGTGGCATGCATGTTGCTATAAGGCTTGAGGCTATGCCACCAGTATTGCAAATGCCAGCGGGGCTGCCCATGGTGGACAGGTTTCAGCAGAGCTTCCAGACTACGACAGACCTGGAAGAAGGAAGAGGCCATCCACTTCTCAAAGAATTGGCCAGTGAAAACCTTATGAATAGCAGTGAAACACTGATATATTATTGGAAAACTTTATGAATAGCCCTGAAACGTTGTCCAATATTGTGCTGGAAGATGAGCCCCTCAGGTTGGAAGGCACTCAAACTAGGAAAAGATGACTCCTTATAGTAGGGCCGACCTTAATGTGATGGATGGGGATCTCCATTTGCTGATGTGGCATGACTCAAAACAAGAAGCATCAGCTGCAAACATCCATTAACAATCAGAACATGGAATGTACTAAGCATGAATCTAGAAAAATTGGAACTTGTCAAAAATGAAATGGAATGTATAAATATTGATATTCTAGGCATTAGTGAGCTGAAATAGACTGGTTTTGGCTGTTTTGAATCAGACAACCATATGATCTACTATGCTGGGAATGACAAAGAGGTATGGTATGGCATTCATCATCACAAAGACTGTTTCAAGCTCTATCCTGAAGTACAGTACTGTCAATGATAGGATAATATCCATACACCTACAAAGAAGACTAGTTAATACTACTATCATTCAAATTTATGTACCAACCACCAAAGCCAAAGAGGAGGAAATTGAAGATTTCTACCAACTTCTGCAGTCTGAAATTGACTGAACATACAATCAGGATGTGTTGATTGTCACTGGTGACTGAAACCCAAAAACTGGAAACAAAGAAGAAATACCAGTAATTGAAAAATATGGCCTGGTGATAGAAATAACACTGGAGATTGCATGATAGAATTTTGTAAGACAAATGACTTATTCATTGCAAATACCTTTTTTCAACAACATAAATGGCAGCTATACACATGGACTTCACCAGATGGAATACACAGGAATCAGATTGACTACATCTGTAGCAAGAGGTGATGCAGAAATTCAGTATCATCAGCCAAACCAGGCCAGGAGCTGATTGTGGAACAGATCATCAACTGCTTATATACAAGTTCGAGTGGAAATTAAAGACAATTAAAACAAGTCCATGAGAGCAAAAATATGACCTTGATAATATTCCTCCTAAATTTAGAGACTATCTAATGAATAGATTTGATGCATTGAACACCAATGACAAAAATCAGAGGGATTGTGGGATGACATCAAGAATGTCATCCATGAAGAAAGCAAGAGGTCACTGAAAAGAGAGGAAAGGAAAGAAAAGACCAAAATGGATATCAGAAGAAATTCTGAAACTTGCTCTTGAGCAGAGAGTAGCCAAAGCAAATGGAAGAAATGACAAGATAAAAGACCTGAACAGAAGATTTCAAAGAGCAGCTTGAGAAGACAAAGCCAGTTATTATAATTAAATGTGCAAAGACTTGGAATTAGAAAACCAAAAGGGAATAATAACATACTCAGCATTTCTCAAGCTGAAAGAATTGAAGAAAAAATTTAAGCCTTGCATTGCAATATTGAAAGATTCTATGGGCAATATTGAATGGAGCAGGAAATATCAGAAGATGGAAGGAATACACAGAATCACTGTACCAAAAAGAATTGGTTGATGTTCATCCATTTTAGAAGGTGATCAAGAACCAATGGTATTGAAGGAAGAAGTCGAGGTCACTGTGAAGGAATTGGAAAAGAACAAGGCTCCAAGAATTGATGGAATACCATTGAGACGGTTCAACAAATGGATGCCATGCTGGTGGCACTCAATTGACTATGTCAAGAGATTTGGAAGACAGCTACCTGGCCAACTGAATGGAAGAGATCCGTATTTGTACCCATTCCAAAGAAAGGTGATGCTGCAGAATGTGGAAATTATTGAACAATATCATTAACATCACATGTGAGTAAAATCTTACTGAAGATGATTCAAAAATGCATGTAGCAGTATATTGACAGAGAACTTACAGAAATTCAAGCTGGATTCAGAAAAGGATGTAGAATGAGAGATATCATTGCTGATGTCAGATAGATCTTGGCTAAGAGCAAAGAATACCAGAAACATGTTTACTTATGTTTTATTGACTATGCAAAAACATTTGATTGTGTGGATTGTAACAAATTATGGATGGTATTGAGAAGAATGGAAATTCCAGAACACTTAATTGTACTTATGAGGAACCTGTACATAGATCAGGAGGCTGTCATTCGAACAGAACAAGGGGATACTGCATGGTTTAAAATCAGGAAGGGAGTGCATCAGGGTTGTATCATTTCACCATATTTAAAATCAATTTGTATGCTGAGAAAATACTCTTAGAAGCTGGACTATATGAGGAAGAACGTGGCATCAGGATTGGAGGAAGACTCATTAACAACCTGTGATATGCAGATGGCACAACTTTGCTTGCTGAAAGTAAAGATGACTTGAAGCACTTAATGATGAAGATTAAAAACAGCAGTCTGCAGTGTGGATTACACCTCAATATAAAGAAAACAAAAATTTTCACAGCTGGACCAATAAACAGCATCACAATAAATGGAGAAAAGATTGAAGTTGTCAAAGACTTCATGGACTCATAGTGAACCCTCCTTGGGTTTCTGAGGTGGTATCACTATGGAAGTAGATTGCCCAATCTTCCTTCCAAGGAGTAGCTGGTGGGTTTGAACAACCAGCCTTCTGGTTGGCAGTCAAATGCCTTAGCAGTTAAATGCCTTAGCAGTCAAATGCCTTAGGCACTATGCCACCAGAGCACCTACAATCAACACCAATGGAAGCAGCAGTCAAGACATCAGACAATGTATTGCATTGGGCAAATCTGCTGCTAAAGACCTCTTTCAGGTACTGAAGAGCAAAGGTGTCTCCCTGAAGATTAAGGTGCTCCTAACCTAAGCCATGGTGTTTTCAATTGCCTCTTATGCATGTGGGAGTTGAACAATGAATAAGGAAGACCAAAGAGTTGATGCTTTTGAGTTGTGCTATTGGAGAAGAATGCTAAGAGGACTATGGACTACTAAAAGAACTAACAAGTCTATCCTGGAGGAAGTGCAGCCAGAATGTTCCTTGGAAGTGAAAATGGCCAGACTTCGTCTCACAGACTTTGGTCATGTTATCAGAAGGAACCATTCTCTGGAGAAGATTATTGTTCTGGTTACCTAGTGCTGCTCTGACAGGAAATATATCACAAATGGGACAGGCTTAACAAACAGGAGTTTATTCTTACAATTGAGAGGCTTTAAGTCTGAGTTCCAAGTGAGAGCCCCTTGACCCTGGGCTTCAGCTCTGCCTCTTGATCCCAGCCCACTGAAGCTAGAGGCATCTCTTCACTCAGGCAGCTACTGGCTGCTGAGGCTAACAAGCCCAAAGTTGACTAATAAAATGGCACAGTCTTGATGTTACCAAACCACATGGCAGGCCACTAATTCAAGTCGAATGTAAGTCTCAAGGTCAGCAGAGCATGGCAGGCTGCTGAACAATGACATGGTTACATGCAGAGTCCAAGCGTGCCATAAGCTTGAGACCATTCCCAAAGTTGTTTCTTATATATGGGAAGCAAAACACATACCCAAGGGCATCTACTCAGCTGCTCGCAGTAGATTGCATCATGGAGTTGATTACCAGTCTCATCATGGAGAATACTACATCCAGCTGCCCAGCCACTCAACCAGGCCAGGCAAGTTGACACGCAAACTGAACCACCACAATTCCACCCCTTGTCAACTTGGCATCTGCACTGATCTTCATTGGGTGGCATCTGTACAGATCTCTCTCATTGGGTGGCTCCAGTCCCCTAGTTCCTCTAAGTGGTGAGCTCACCCCCTTGGCCTGGTGGGCCCTGTTCCTCTCTCTTTGGGGCATGGCAGTCCTGCCCCCTCTCTCTTGGGCAGTGGCTATGGCTCCATCCCACTGGCTCACATGAACAAGCAGACCCACACTCCAGAACCAAGTTGGTGAAGGCCTGGCTCTTTGAAACCTAGGAGACTGTGATTGTTCCACCCCCAAAGGCCATGTCCTACACTTTCAGGCTGAGGCAGCTCTGCTTCTGTTTCCTTGGTCTCTCTGCTTCTGCCAATTAATGCCAAAGGCAACCCACTCCACTGGAAAACTTCCTGCCCCAAAAGCACTCGGCTTTCTTGTTCCGTGGGCCACCCAACTTGCTACTGCATTACAAGCTGGTCTAGTCTACCAATTAATTCCCAAAGGCAACCCACTCCGCCAGTAAGCCACTTGCGCAAAGGCACCCGGCTTTCTCCTCCGTGGACTGGTAAGCCTGTTGTTGTTTAATGCTGGTCTCTGGGCTCTGCTACCACCATCTCTAATATTGGTCTCTCTGCCTGTGCGTCTCTGCCAGTGTCTGGGCCCTGCTCCTGGTGTCTCTCATGCTGTATGCCAGGGTCTCTCTGCTAGGGTCTCAGGTCAAGGACGCAATCCACACCTGTTTCCAGGAGTGGAGATATTTTAGGTATCTGTCAGAGCAGCACCCCACTCTTGTGGTACCATATTCTGTTCTGGTTACCTAGTGTCGCTCTGACAAGAAATATACCACAAATGGGATGGCCTTAACAGACAGGAGTTTATTCTTACAATTTAGAGGCAGGCTTTAAGTCCGAGTTCCAAGTGCCAGGCCCTTGGGGCTGTATGAAAGCCCCTCAACCTCAGGCTTCAGCTCTGCTTCTTGACCCTGGCCCACTGAAGCTAGAGGCATCTCTTCATTCAGGCAGCTACTGGTTGCTGAGGCTAACAAGCCCAAGGTTGACAAATAAAATGGCACAGTCCTGATGTTACCAAACCACATGACAGGCCATTAATTCAAGTCCATTTTAAGTCTCATGGTCAGCAGAGCATGGCAGACTGCTGAACAATGACATGGCTACATGCAGGGTCCATGTGTGCCATAAGCTTGAGACCATTCCCAAAGCTGTTTCTTATATACAGGAAGCAAACCACATACCCAAAGGCAGCTACTCAGCAGCTCACAGTAGATTGCACCATGGAGTTGATTACCAGTCTCATCATGTGGAATACAACATCCAGCTGCCCAGCCAATCAACCAGGCCCAGTCAAGTTGACACACAAACTGAACTACCACAGATATCATGCTTGGTAAAGTGGAGGGTCAATGAAAAAGGGGAAGGCCCTCAACAAGATGGATGGGTACAGTACTTCAACGATGGGCTCAGGTATAGCAAGGATCATGAGGCTGGCACAGGACTGTGCAGTGTTTCGTTCTGTTGTGCTATGAGTTGGAGACGACTTGACAGCAGCTAATCACAACAAATTGTTTTTGTAACTTTGTCCCCTGTATGCTATACTACATTCATGAATATATTTGTAGCACATGTAAATACATAAGGGAGCTCTGGTAGCGAAGTGCCTAAGGCATTTGACTGCTAACCAGAAGGCTGGCAGTTCAAACCCACCAGCCACTCCTCGGAAGGAACATTGGGCAATGTACTTCCATAGTGATACTTCCTTGGAAACCCAAGGAAGGATAGCTATGAGTCAGATCTGACTCGACAGCAGTGAGTTTGGTTTTGTTTTGGTTTGGTAAATACATAGATAGAAATATCCTCTGTCAAACTTATAAATATTCTTGGATGTAGTCCCATTCTTAGTTATAACCCTATGGAAACAGATTACCAGGTCTTTCTCCCATTGAGCCTCTGGGTGGATTTGAACTGCCAACCTTTGGTTCACAGGTGAGCACTTAACCAGTTGTGTCACCAGGGCTTCTTATATAGTAATATCTTATGTGACCATTAGATCTTAAGCCCTTTACCTCAAATGTGGGAATTCTCATCCTCACAGGGAAATGTGGCACAAGGCCATAAAGCTATTGCATCATGGTCAGATTAAGGAATCAGTTCTTATTGACTCCAAGATCATGTTCTTTCCATTCTCCCACCCTTCCTTTTCACCCTCTCATTTCTGCTTTACCTTTCTTTTTCTTTGTGGACAGGATTTAAAAGAACATGAAGAACTGATAGACTAATCTCTGCTAGGCTGCTCAAAGGAAGGGTTGAGAGCTCTGGTAGAGCAGAGAGTAAGGGCAAGCCTTGGAAAAAGAAAGTTGTTACCGTGGATATGTCTAAAGCTCATGGAGTCACCGTGTCAAAGAAAAATTATGTATGGAAGGGTCTACAGGGAACAAGGGGCGTCTCATCTACCTGCGTGGTAACCCTTGGAAACCCTGAAGCAGGTCTTGGCGGCTTGGACCTGTCATTTCTGAGTGGTTCAAGAGGATGCAGCCTCAGCTTGTGTCAAAGCCTTATGTGTGGTTTCCTTTTTTCTTCTAGGGTCATCTTGGAAATAGATGAACCAGCATCAAACCATAATGGTGGACAGCTCCTTTTTGGCCTGGATGGTTATATGTACATATTCACTGGGGATGGAGGACAGGGTGGGGATCCCTTTGGCAAGTTTGGAAATGCTCAGAACAAGTAAGTTGGATGGAGGATGGGCCCCTGTTCCCTTGGGGTGAGCCCTTGGCACAGTGCTTTTGCTGAGACGGAGTCTCTAGAGGGTCATATCCAAATCACTTCCCATAGGATATAGTCCCCATTGTTGAGGCAGTGGGAGGAATATTTGGTTTTCTGTCTTATATATTTCAGATATAGTCAGTGTATTTTGGTAATTTATATTAAAAATGTTCAGTGTACTTCTTGGAGTGCTAAGTAGAGAAGAATTCAGAATTTTTAATGTATTTTGTTGTGTGCTGTTGAGTTGTTTCCCACTTGCTGCGGCTCTATGGCACACACAAAAAACTGCCCCATAGGGTTTCCTAAGCTGTAATCTTTACAGAAGTAGACTGCCAAGTCTCTTCTACCACAGAGTGCTGGTGGGTTCGAACTACTGACCTTTCGGTTAGAGTGGAGTACCTAACCACTGTGCCACCAGTGTTCCTTAACATATATTATCTAAACATATTTAGACATATTTGACACAGCAAGACCTGATCATCTAATTCATCTCAACAACTCAGCCTGCTATGTTGCAGGTACTACTGTACTAGGACCTGATGATCCTTGAGAAGTTTAATTATAATAATGGCTAATGTGTATTGAGTGGTTACTGCGTGGCAGGTATTGTTTTAAATACTTTACATGTATTCAATCATGCAATTCTCACAACCCACCAGGGTGAGAAGGTTGATCGGTTTTGTTCATGGATACATCCTTATCATGTAGATCTCAGCAGCAGGTAGTCACTCAATAAATATTTGTGGGATGAATGAATTCTATCAAAGTGCGGGCATTATGATATTGATTTTACCAACAAGGAAATTGAAGCACATAGGAGTAAAGTAGTTTGTCCAAGGTCACACACGATTGTAAGTGCAGCACCAGAATTTGAGCCTAGATAATCTGGCAGCAGAGCCAAATGATGCTATGTTGTCTAGATCGAGGTCAAATGAACCTCTCTCTGCACTTCACACCCAGAAGACACTTGGCTCCTAATACTCTTAGTAATAACAACATTGAGGTTAGTGACAGTAATAAAAAACTAACATTTGCTGAATGCCTATTGTGTACCAGGAATTACATTAAAAGCTATATACACAATAATTTATTTAATCTTTACATTACCATCACACTGGAAAATAGTGTTACTCTCCCCTATTTATAAATGAGGAAATTGGGGCCCAGAGACCCTAGTCATTGACAGAAGCCTCTGTTCTTTCTACTAACCACATTGCTATACAGGGAAAAATGTTGTTGTTATGTGCCGTCAAGTCAGACCCGACTCATAGTGACCCCTCTTTGAGTATCCGAGGCAGTATCACTATGGAAGTAGATTGCCCAATCTTCCTTCTGAGGAGTGGCTGGTGGGTTTGAACCGCCAGCCTTCTGGTTAGCAGTCAAGTGCCTTATACACTATGCTACTAGAGTTCCTTACAAGGAAAAATAGAACTAGCTTTTTTTAAAAAAAATCAAATGAGATGAAAACTGAGAGAAAACCATTCTCATCATAAAACTATAAATATTGAAGGTACAATTTGCACATGGCCACTTGGACCAGGATTGCACCAAACTTCTGCCTACTAGTTCTTTTTGAGCCGAGAATAGGAAGTCTTTAAAAAATCCACCCACTGACATCCAGTGGATTCTGACTCATAGTGACCATTTAGGACAGAGTAGAACTTCCCTAAAGGATTTCCAAGGATGTAAATCTTTACAGAAGAAGACTCTCTTGTCTTTCTCCCACAGAGTGGCTGTGGGTTCAAACCACTGACTTTTTGGTTAACAGTGGAATTCTTTAACCACTATGCCACAGTTATGTCTAATCAATTTCACCCATGGTGAGTCACGTGTAAGAGTAGAACTGTACTCCATAGAGTTTTCAAGGGCTGATGTTTTGGGTAGTAAATTGTCAAGTCTTTTACCCAGCCATCTCTGGGTAAACTCAAACTTTTGGTTACCAGCTGAGCTTGTTAACTAGGGACTCCATCTTAACATCTTATGGATACAGGTATATATCACTTAAGGTCTGATCCAGCAGGGTCTAACTGCATATACGTCCATGGGCCAGGTCACACAGGTGTCTGAGTTCAGGATGTCAGACCTTCATCTTGAGACTGGAGTCCCAGTTCTGCCTGGCTCCTACACGTAGCCCAGAAGCCACCTAGTCTGTGGTGCTGGGGGCCCAGGCCTAAACTCCCAACCTTGGTTCCCCTTCTCTCCCATGACTTAATGGTCTAGTCCTCATGTTTTGACAGTGTTGTCCTGTAGGGTGCCAATGGAAAGGTATGGGCCCAGGTGCTCCAGCCATGGCTCGAGAGCCCTCAGTCGCCTTGTCCCACATCATCCTCTCTCAGGCAGGTTCTCACAGGTGAGCTGGACTTCCCTGAAGCTGGCTAAACAGAGAAGGAGGCAATAGCTGGGTGGACTCGGGAGAGTGCTACCTGAGGCACTGGCAGCTGGAGTTGCTTGGGTTAAGTAAACTCCACACAGCAGCCCACAGGCCAGTGCAACTAATAGTCTTGCACCCCACATCGCACACCCAGGTGTTCCCACAATGTCCATAACACATAATGTTCTATTTCACAGAATGTGGATGTTCAGCAATGCATACCAGTATTTAAAAGAAAAAAAAAAAAGTCATCTCTCCATGGTATCCCCAGCTCTAGCACAGCATTGACTATCAGTAGGCCCTCCTGGACAGTTCTCCTTGTTTCTGTGCCATTGCTTCCCTGTGTCTATTTCTTGACCTTCTTTCTTTCAGAAGCTCCTTGCTGGGAAAAGTGTTACGGATAGATGTGAATGGCGCAGGTTCAGACAGCAAGCGGTACCGAGTTCCCCAGGACAATCCTTTTGTTTCTGAGCCAGGGGCACACCCCGCTGTCTATGCCTTTGGGGTCAGAAACATGTGGCGCTGTGCCGTGGACCGGGGGGACCCCATCACTCATCAGGGCCGAGGCCGGATATTCTGTGGGGATGTGGGCCAGAACAAGTTTGAAGAAATCGACCTCATTGTTAAAGGCGGGAACTACGGCTGGAGAGCAAAGGAAGGATTTGAATGTTACGACAAAAAACTGTGTCACAATGCCTCTTTGAGTAAGTAAGAAGCTCTGCTGAGTGATCTCTTGAATAAGGGTTGGAGGTGGGGGTGAAGCAATAAAAGCTGAGAGAGGATCCTTTCCTGGGGATTCTTTATTGATACCGTTAGCTGCCATCAATGAACCCCAGACTCGTGGCGACTCCATGTTGAATGAAATGAACCGCTGCCTGGTTCTGCACCATCCCCATAACTGATTGCAGTTCAGACTGTTGTGACCCATAGGGTTTTCATTGGCTGATTTTTGGAAATAGGTTTCTAGACCTTTCTTTTTAGTCTTAGTCTTTGTCTGGAAGCTCAGCTGAGACCTGAGCATAAGACACATTGGCCAGGAATCAAACCCTGGCCCCCTGTATGGAAGGCAAGAATTCTACCACTGAACCACCACTGCCTCATGGCGAATCCTTTAAGGGGTGCTTTTATTGTGTTCTGTGAGGTAGTGCTTCTTAAAGCACAGTCCTGCAGCCACTGGGATCAGAATCACCTCTGGTGGAACTTTTTAAAATGTCAGTTCCTCCACTTCAGACCTAATGAATTTGAATTTTGGGAAGGATTGAGGAATCTATTTCAAATAAATTATTCACATGATTCTTAAAAGTAGTATTTTGAGGTCTGCTGGCAGAGAAAAACTTATGGCTATATGTTTTTATTTATTTCCCAAATCAGGGTAGCCACTGAAATGATATTCTGTCTATAGTCAAGTAAGAACAATCCTCAAACATTAATAACCCTATTTTTCTGTGAGTCAACAGTCATAGTGTGTTTTTAAGAAACTCCACTTGGCTCAAACTTCCAATTTTCTGACACCATCATCATTATTTAGCCTTTTTATAGACTCTAAGTTACAAAGCCACTACGTAAACCTCAACAGTGGACTCAAATATACCAAGGATCAAGATGGTACAGGACTAGGCAACATTTCATTCTCTTATACATAAAATCACCACAGGTTGGACTGACTCCATGGCAACTAACAACAACAACAACAACAAAGTTACAACACAGTAGTCAAGACCCTCACCATATTTTCCAAATCCTTAAATCTGAGTATCTGACATATCAACCTAGGAGAAAAACTTAAGTGTGTGGATTTCCAGATAGGCACTCTGGTGGTACAGTGGTTAAAGCTTTTGACTGCTAACAAAAGGTTGGTGGTTGGAACCTACCAGCTGCTATGTGGGAGAAAGATGAGGTAGTCTACTTCCTTAAGAATTTGCAGCCTTGGACACCATATGGGACAGTTCTACTCTGTCCTGTAGGGTTACTGTGAGTCTGAATCGACTCAGTGGCAGTGGGTTTGGTGTTAGTTTTGGCCTCATAGATGGAAGAATTCATTACTCCCATCTGTCTACTAATGGCAGTCAGATGGGAGGCTCACAAATACAATGGCTGATCTGTTGAGAAGAATCGGCATGATTAATCTTGACTGCCTGTCCTAACGAAGACCAAGAGATAAAGTGTTCTCCAATGAATCAAGCACCTGTATTAAATAGGCCCCTTCTTCCTCCTTAAAGCTCTCATTTTTGATCATGACACTCCTTCTGTTTTCTTGTGTCTGGACAGATGACATTCTGCCAATCTATGCATATGGCCATGCAGTGGGGAAGTCGGTTACTGGAGGGTTTGTCTACCGTGGTTGTGAATCCCCAAATCTCAATGGCCTGTACATCTTTGGGGACTTCATGAGTGGGTAAGGAAGGGTTGATGTCCTCTCTCTATCTTTTATTTATTTTAATGTTCTTATTGAGACACCTTATATATAATGAAATGCAAATTCTTAAGAGCACAGATGGTTGAAGTTTTGTAAATATATACACTTGTATTACCATCAACCATATCAAGATGCAGAACATTTCCATTATTCTAGAAGGTTCCTTCTTGCCTATTTCCTGTCAATAGCAGCCACCCCCCCCCCCCACACACACACATACATACCAGCCAAAGGTAACCACTATTCACCTCTCTCATCACAGATTACTTTTGCTTCTGGAACTTTATATAAATGCATCATACAATTTATACTTTTCTTTCCTCTTTTTTTGTGCCTGACTTCTTTCATTCAACATAATGTCTGTGAAATTTATCAATGGGTGTGTTTATCAGTAATCTGTCTTTTTTATTGCTTTGTAGTATTCCATTGTATGAATATACTACAATTTATTATTTTGTTCTGTTGATACACATGTTGGCTATTTCCAGTTTTGGGATATTGTAAATAAAACTGCAACAGTGTTTCATAGGTTTCAGTGTGTATATACTATACATCTACATATTTAGTATTTTTTGATGACATGAGTAGCATTTTGATAAATTTCAATTTCTGATTATTCACTGCTAGTATGTGTCTATACTTATATATACACACACACATGTGTATCATGTATATATGTGTGTGTGTGTGTGTGTATGTAGATTAACGAGGAGTTCTGGTAGCATAGTGGCTAAGGCACTTGACTGCTAACCAGAAGGCTGGCAGTTCAAACCCACCAGCCACTCCTTGGAAGGAAGATGGGGCAATCTACTTCTGTAGTGATACTGCCTTGGAAACCCAAGGAGGGGTCACTATGAGTCGGGTCCAACTCGATGGCACATAACAACAACAACAACAACAACAACTTTTGTAGGGGAGCTCTGGTAGCGTAGTGGCTAAGGCACTTGACTGCTAACCAGAAGGCTGGCGGTTCAAACCCACCAGCCACTCCTTGGAAGGAAGATGGGGCAATCTACTTCTGTAGTGATACTGCCTTGGAAACCCAAGGAAGGGTCACTATGAGTCCGGGCCGAATTGAGGGCACATAACAACAACAACATATATATATACACACACACACACACACATATATATATACACATATACATATACATATATATACATATGTTTGTGTATATATATATATGTATTTATATGTATATATGTATGCGTGTATATATATATATAGAGAGAGAGAGAGAGAGAGAGAAAACAAACCCTGGTGGTGTGCACATTGTGCATCAGTAGTTCAAACTCACCAGCTTAGTGGGAAAAAGATGTGCCAGTCTGCTTCCAGAAAGGTTACAGTCTTAGAAGCCTTATCAGGCAGTTCTATACTGTACTCTGTCCTACAGGATTTCTATGAGTTGGAATTGACTCAACGGCAGCAGGTATTATATACATATATATATGTGTGTGTGTGTGTGTGTGTACATGAGAGCTCTGGTGGTGTAGTGCCTAAGGCATTTGACTGTTAACCAGAGGGCTGGTGGTTCAAACCTACTAGTCACTCCTCAGAAGGAAGATTGGGCAATCTACTTGCACAGTGATACTGCCTCAGAAACTCAAGGAGGGGTCGCTATGAGTCGGATCTGACTCGAGGGCAATGAGAATTTTTCGTATGTGTACATATCTATATATCTATATCTATATTTATATAGAGAGAGATAGATATAAATGAGCTAGTATCTGGCAACCTTCCTGAACTCCTTATTCTAGTAGTTTTTTTTTTATTCTGCTGGATTTTTTTTATGTATAACAGATCATTGTGTCTCTGAATATAGACAATTTTATTTTTTTTCTGAATTAGGATCATTTTATTATTTTCTTGCTGTATGTAGCACTTTAAACCTTCAGTACAGCATTGAGTAGAAGTAGGGGAAAGCATTTAGCTTTTCATCAATAAGTATGATGTGAATTGTGGGTGTTTTGTACATGTTCTTTAACAGGTTGTGAAAATTCCTTCCATTCCTTGTTTGCTGAGCGTTTGCATTAGGTATGGATGTTGGATTTTGTCAAATACTTTTTATGCAGGTATTGAGAGAATTGTATAGTTTTTCATTTAAAAATATTAATATGGTGAATTATATTGATTGACACTTGTATTGTTAAAGTAATCTTGCATTCCTGGGATAAACATCACTTGGGCATGATACATTATTGTTTTTATATATTGTTGAATTCTATTTGCTAAATATTTTATGTAGAATTTTTTGCATCTGAGTTCATGAGAGATAGTGATCTGTCATTTTTCTTTCTCATAATATTTTTGTAGGTTTTGGTATCAGGGTAATGTGGTCTTCTAGAATGAGTTTGGAAGTATTTCCTCTTTAGTTATCTGGAAAAGTTTATGTAAAATTTGTATTATTTCTTCTTTGCATGTCTCTTCCTTATAAGTGAAGCTAGTGACCTGGACTTTTCTGTGTGGGAATATTTTTACAAATTCAATTTCCTTAATAGATATAGACTATTCAGTTTATCTTTTTTTTTTTTTTTTTTTCAAGTGAGCTTTGGTAGTCTCAATATTTCAAGGAATTTGTCCATTTCATCCCAGTTGTCAAATTTATTGGGATAAAGGTGTTCATATTGTTCCCTTTTTATCCTTTCAATATCTGAAAAACCTAGTGATGTCACCTATCTTATTCCAGATATTGGTAAGCTGTGTATTCTCTCTTTCTTTTTTCTCTAATCAGTCTAGGTACAGGTTTATCAATCTTATTGATCACAAAGAAGTAGCTTTTGGTTTCAATGATTTTTTTCCCCTTCTTTTTGTATTGCATTGATTTTTACTCTGATCTTTGTTATTTTCTTCTTTCTGCTTGCTTTGGGTTTATTGCCTCTTTATTTCTACTTTCTTAAGATAGGTGCTCAGGTTATTGATTTCAGATCTGTCATCTTTTCTAATGTATACGTTTACTATATAAGTTATATCCCTCTCACAAGTACTGCGTTAGCAGCATTCCACAAATTTTAATATGTTACACTGTCATTTTTATTCACTAAAAATATTTTCTAATTTCCTTTTGATATTTTCTCTGATTCATGAGTTATTTAGAAAAGTGTAATTTAGTTTCCAAATATTTGGGGATTTCCTGAGATCTTTGTACTATTGATTTCTAATTTATTTTTATTGTGGCCACAGAACATACTTTATATGACTGGAGTACTTTTGTATTTATTGAGACTTGTTTTATGACCTGGAATACAGTACTTGTACCACAATTCATCTGTCAGTTTATCATACTGTGGTGGCTTGTGTATTGCTGTGAGGCTGGAGGTTATGCCACTGGTACTTCAAATACCGTCAGGGTCACCCATGGTGGAGAAGTTTAAGTGGAGCTTCCAGACTAAGACATACTGGGAAGAAGAACGAGGTGGCACACTTCTGAAAAAATTGACCAGTGAAAACCTTATGAATAGCAGTGAAACACTGTCTGATACAGTGCTGAAAGATGATCTCCTCAGGTTGAAGGCACTGAAAATACTACTGTGGAAGAGCTACCTCCTCAAAGTAGAGTCAACCTTAATGACATGGATAGAGCAAAGCTTTTGGGCTCTCCATTTGCTGATGAGGCACCACTCAAAATGGAAGGAAACAGCTGCAAACATTCATTAATAATCAGAATGTATGCAGTATGCATCTAGGAAAATTGGAAGTTGTAAAAAATGAAACAGAACACATAAAGATCAATATCCTAGACATTGTTGTTGTTGTTGTTATGTGCCGTCAAGTCGGACCCGACTCATAGTGACCCCTCCTTGGGTTTCCGAGGCAGTATCACTACAGAAGTAGATTGCCCCGTCTTCCTTCTGAGGAGTGGCCAATGGGTTTGAACCGCCAGCCTTCTGGTAAGCAGTAGAGTGCCTTAGGCACTACGCTACCAGAGCTCCTAGACACTAGCGAGTTGAAATGGACTGGTATTGGTGATTTTGAATATGGTCTACTATGCTGGGAATGACAAATTGAAGAGGAATGGTGTTACATTTATCATCAAAAAGAACATTTCAAGATCTATCCTAAAGTATAATGCTGTCAGTGATAGGATATTACCCATACACCTACAAGGAAGACCAGTTAATACTACTATTATTCAAACTTACGCACCAACCACTAAAGCCAACGATGAAGAAATTGAAGATTTTTACCAACTTCTGCAGTCTGAAATTGATCAAACATGCAATCAAAATTATTGATAATTATTGGTGATTGGAATGCAAAAGTTGGAAACAAAGAATAATCATCAGTAGTTGGAAAATATGGCCTTAGTGATAGAAATGATGCCAGAGATTGCATGATAGAATTTTGCAAGATGAATGACTTATTCATTGCAAATACCTTTGTTCAACAACAGAAACAGTGGCTATACACATGGACCTCTCCAGATGGAATACACCAGAATCAGATTGACTACATCTTGGAAAGAGGCAATGGAAAAGCTCAATATCTCAATTAAAACAAGGCCAGGAACTGACTGTGGGATAGATCATCAATTACTTACATACAAGTTTAAGTTGAAGCTGAAGAAAACTATAAGTCATGAGAACCAAAATATGACCTTGATTATATCCCACCTGAATTTAGAGACCATCTGAAGAGTAGATTTGATGAGTTGAACACCAGTGACTGAAGACCAGACAAGTTGTGAGATGACATCAAGAGCATCATACATGAAGAAAGCACCTAACAACAACATGGTCATTGTAAATGTTCCATGTACAGTTGAAAAGGATTTGATTTCTGCTTTTGATGAGTGGAGTGTTCTATAAATATCAGGTAGCTTAAGTTGGTTGATCATGTTGCTCAAGTTGGTTATAGAGCCTTAATTGATGTCCTATAAAATTTTTAAAAATCATTTTTGAGAGTGGGATATTGAAATCTCTGGGTTTGTGAATTTGTCTATTTTTCTTATAGTTCCTTATGAATTTTTGCCTCATGCATT